TCTCTCTCTCTTCTCTCTCTCCCCCCCCCTTCCTCCTCCCGCGTGGTCTTCCCTCCACCTCCCTGGTGTGAACTCCCTGGTTCTTCTCTTGACAAGGCCTACCTCAGGAAGCCGGTCTGGATCTGACACCTGGCTGAGGGAGACCTGTTGCAGGATCAGGTGGGAATTCTAACCTGGGCGCTGAGGATACAAGTTTTCTCATTCTCTGATTTCCTAGAGTTCCCCTTGACTTGAGGTGGTGTTCTTGGTGCTACCCCTAGATGAAGGCTCTGGAAAGTAGGGTTACCCAGCTGGACACATACTTATCATCTATGCGGATCAGCCAAGTTTCGTGGGGTTTTGGGGGTTCACTGTCAGTCTGCAGAGGGAAGTCCAGCTAGTCACCATCGACTTGCTTTCTCCAGGCCACCTGTACCAAAAGTGTTTCATGGAGGACTCTGAGGATGATCCAACCATATTCAGAGCCCACTGCATGCCCAGTGACCCCCGGCTCTGGGCCACTGTAACCAACTCATATCTGGGTACACGTGTGTATCATGACACAGTGCATGTTAATGGTGTGTACAATGGGGCTGGAGGGAATACTCACAGGGCAATTCTGCCCAGCCCCCTCAATGTCTGGCTGGAGGCCCCTGCAGGGATTGGAGAACAACTAACCAAGACCTTCTCCCTGGACACCAACACAGGTTAGTTGCCACCAATCTTAGCCTCCTTCTCCTTAAGCTGTTGAGAGGGACATTCTCACTTGGGAAGTCTCACAAGGGAAAGTAGGCCATAAAAGCCAGTATGTGACTCAGACCTGTAATCTCAGTACTGAGGAGATTGAGGCAAGAAGATGGAGAATTGGGGTCCATCCTGGGCTACACAGCAATATCTGTCTCAAAAATAAAACAGTTGATCTTTAAGAAGCATCCCAACATAGGCCTCTGTGGTTTGCCTCACTTTACTTTCTTCTGGGTGGGCCTGCTGGGGTCCTGTGCAGCCGTAGCTTCCAAGACAACAGCAAGTCTGCCAGAGTGGGCCCACGTCACTGGGAAGAGGCAGCTGGAGGTTTAAGGGACCCCATTCCCAGCTCAAGAAATCTATGGTACTCTGTGGTTTTGGGGGGGCCACAGCTTTGCAGTTGTTCTGGGGCTGTCCTCCATTCTGATGTTCCCCAGGATGACTGAGGCTCCCAACTCTCCCTAGGTTCCTTTCTGCACACCCTGGAAGGCTCCAGCTTCCGGGCTTCCCAGTGCATCTATGCTCACCGTGTGCTGCCCCATGTTCTGGCCTTCAGAGTGTCCATTGCACGCTTGACCACAAGGAAACAATCCATCACAGTGCTGCTACGGTCAGCCTTCTCCCCAGAAAGCCCAGACCTGGACCTTCATGTGGGGCCTGACTTCCAGGGTGTCCGGTGAGGAGTGGGCTAGGTCTTGTCTGGGTACCCCAGAGAGGGAGTCTATTCCTGAGGCTCAACTATGCTCTTATAGGTACCTGCATGGCCATACACTCACCCCTGAGCAGCCAGGGGAGCCACAGCAGGAGGTTCACATGCTATGGATGCCAGTGCCCCCAGCCTTGACCCTTGGAGAAGATGAGAAGGACAGGACCTGGGACTTTCTGACTGTGGTGGGCGGCAGCCAGGCTGAGACCCAGGGCTGCTTTGCTGAGGCTTTGCACCTGCAGACCAGGGGCATTCTATACACCACCCATGCAGAGGCCTGGGCCCAGCTCTGGGTGGGCTGTGGCTTGGACATGGCTGGGCCCCTGGCCCTGCGCCAGGCCCTCCGTGGCTCTCTCTACTACCTGTTTAGTGCTCTGCCCCAACCTGGCACCCGAGGATACATCAGCCATGGGCTCAGTCCTGGGGGCCTCTCCAATGGGAGCCAAGAGGAGTGCTACTGGGGCCACATCTTCTGGGACCAGGTACACCCTGCACAGGGAGCTGTGTGTAGACATTTGCCCTACTTGAGATCAAGACCATGGAAGCACAGAGGTCATAGATGGGATTGCTTCCTAGAGGAGGTAATATCTCAAAAGAAGGATACGTAGGAGTTTGTTAGAAAAGAGTGATCCAAGTAAGAGCAGGTGCAAAGGCCCTGAGCTGAGGGTGAGCAGCATCTAAAGGCAGAGGAGGGGCCTCACTGAGGTGGGAAGAACAGCAGGCCCAGACCTCAGAGAGAACTGGATACAAGCCTGGAGTTCATCCAAGGGCTGAGGAAGTCATAGAGACTGCTTAAGAGGAGTGGCAGGTAGAGGTACAGTCTGGAAAGATCCGTGGCTGCCAGGAGTAGCTGGGTGAAGAAGGCAAGGAATGAAGGCTGAAGAAATCAAGGACGCGGCATATGGAGTTTGGTGACCACTGAGTGAGGAAATATTGAGGGGAAGACTTAAGGCCATTCCTATGTTTTCTGATGCTCTGGGAAGTCTGCACTGTGACCCATTTTACAGATGAGGTCCAGGGAGACTGAGGTCAGGCAGCCAGAGAGCCTGAAGCAAACTCTCCCCAAAGGCCTGGACCCAGATGCCAGCACCTCCCAATAATGGCTAGGCTGAGGACCAGAACTCAGGCTGTCTAGGCTGGAGAAATGGCACTGGACTAGGCAGGCCAGAGAGGTCCCAGGTGGGTTTGGGTGGGCATCAGATGAGGGACCCAGAGAGGCAGAAGGCCTCCAGAAGATTGAGAGGAAGCTGCCAGCTGTCATGTTTGCTTTGTATTACCTGGAAGCCTTGACAGGGTGGGATGTACACAGTACAGGAGGGAGGGAGAAGGTGTGAGCGCCTATCCAGCTCCAGAGTGGTTCATCTTCTCAGGACCTCTGGATATTCCCAAATATCCTGATGTTCCACCCAGAGGCTGCAAGGGCTATCCTGGAGTACCGAGTCCGTACGCTGGGAGGGGCCCTGAAGAATGCCCAGAACCTGGGCTACCAGGTAAGAGAACCTTGGCACCATCCCATAGGACTCTGCCACAGGGTCTGCTCAGTGCCATTCAGTAGCACCGGAGCCCCCACTTCCTCTTTCCTCCCTCCTTGAAGAACACCCCCCATAAGACTGGGCTGCCCCTCCACAGATCAGGATCTGTCCATCCCATCCTTCCTCACAGGGAGCCAAGTTTGCTTGGGAGAGTGCAAGCACTGGCCTGGAGGTCTGCCCTGAGGACATATATGGGACCCAGGAGATCCATATCAATGGGGCAGTAGTATTGGCCTTCCAGCTATACTACCACACCACCCAGGTAAGACATCTTTATACCCCAGGCATGCTCACCTACCTGATGTGGCAACATTCTACCTCTTGACCCTTACAGGGACAGTCCTGGAAATCTGTGTGAAGAGGGGCTCTGGGAGCCAGATACTACTTTTGGGGTGCCCCAGAGGTAGGCGCTCACCCTTTGCCCTGCTCTCATTCCCTAGGACTTGCAGTTCTTCCAAGAAGCTGGTGGTTGGGATGTGGTCAGTGCTGTGGCTGAGTTTTGGTGCAGCCGTGTGGAGTGGAGCCCCCAGGAGAAAAAGTACCACCTGAAAGGTGAGGGCTCGGGAATGCTGTGGCCAGCCCAATACTGGCTACTGTTACGGATGGCATGTCCTGAGCCCCTATACTAATTGCCATGGTGGCCCTGTGTGCCCAGGAGTCATGCCCCCTGACGAATACCACTCAGGAGTCAACAACTCTGTGTATACCAACGTCTTAGTCCAGAACAGGTCAGATATGAGACACCCCTCCCTCACCTCAGCCCTAGCACAGCAGGCTGGGTCCAGCCAGAAGCTATACAGCTGCAGACTGTCTCCTCCCCAGTCTGCGCTTCACTGCTGCTTTGGCAGAGGACCTGGGTCTGCCGGTTCCCAACCAGTGGCTGGAGATAGCTGATAAGATCAAGGTGCCCTTTGACCCTGAGCAGAACTTCCACCCTGAATTTGATGGGTATGAGCTTGGTGAGTTGTGCCAAGTCCCTCAAGGACCCTTCTGCCTGGCCAAGACCCCCACATTCACCGTAGGACACCCTCATCTTCTCAACCCAAACCCCATGTCTATCCTGTCCCCTTCCTCCACTCAGGAGAAGAAGTAAAGCAGGCTGATGTTGTGCTACTGGGATACCCAGTCCCATTATCCCTGAGTCCTGACATCCGAAGGAAAAATCTGGAGATTTATGAGGCTGTGACATCTCCCAAGGGCCCTGCCATGACCTGGGTGAGGAGCCTCGTGAGTGGCCTGGACCCATTGTCCTCGCTCTTCCTTTCCCACACAGTGGGTTTAACCCTTGCATGTCCTCTGAATTCTGACCTCAGAGCATGTTTGCTGTGGGCTGGATGGAGCTGAAGGACCCGTCAAGGGCTCAGATCCTCCTGAACAGGAGTTTCACCAATGTCACAGAGCCCTTCAAGGTCAGCTGGGTTCCCACCCACCACTCACTGCCTCTGTCTTCTGCTCTGTGGTAGTCTCAGCAGGGTCAGGGCCCTGCCTGACCTTATACCTCAAGTCACAGCCATCCTTGTCCCCTGCAGATATGGACTGAAAATGCGGATGGATCTGGTGCAGTGAACTTCCTGACAGGCATGGGGGGCTTCTTACAGGCAACACTCTTTGGGTGCACAGGGTTCAGGTGAGTGTAGTGACCAACAGGGGATCCCCACTTGTCCCTACCCTCTTCATACAGCTCTCTCCACAGGGTCACTGAAGCAGGTGTGACCTTTGACCCCCTGTGCCCAGTGGGAGTCTCTGGACTGTGTGTCTCTGGCATCTCCTACCAGGGGAACAAACTCAACTTTGCCTTCTCCAAGGACTCCATAACAGTTGAGGTCACAGCCCAGGAAGGGCCCTGCGCCCCTCTGCTAGAGGCTGAGCTGTGGCCATCACAGGCCCGACACCTTCTGTCACCAGGTAGGGAACAGTCCATGATCATGTTACCCAGGTGTCCTGGTGCATGCTCTTAAGGACTGGCGCTCTTTTCCTGCAGGACACAAGGTCTCCTTTCCCCACTCAGCTGGCCGGATACAAAGGTCACCTCCATAGATGTCCAGAAACTCCAGCTCTTGAGTGTTTCCTGGGAGAAGTTTTGACATCTTGACGTTAGAAACCTGTTTCAGTGCCTGTGAGACACTCTTGGGGTCATCACCACAAGCTCCCACACACCCTGCACTAAAATCTATCTGGATCCTGGAACCACCGAGGCTACTGGGCCTCCCTCCGTGCCTATTCCCTTCCCCTTCACTCCCCTCTCCCTCCCCAGTTCTCTATCCTCACACACTCTCTGGCCTAGGACTGACCTGAGCACCCCGTCCCTTGGCTCCCCATCTTTGTCTCCCCAGGACTGGGCCTTAACTTTGTTGCTCACCTCTGGCTTCTGGTCCCTGGACTGCTCTGGTCACGGGGCTGGGTGGGGAATGGCCAGCAGCTCTGATGAGAAGGTGGTCGGCAGGGAGGGACATGGAGTCAGGGGCTTAGCTTTCCCAGATAGGAGTTTCTTGTGGCATATAATTGGGACCAGACTGAGCTAGCCAAATAATCAAGGATTTTGGGGGACTTGGACTCCCAATTCTTTAACTCCTCTTGACTCTGGAGTCAGATGGTCTCTGGCATAGTGGCCTAGGGTGAGAGCTGTCCTTAACCAAGTAACCTATTAGAAGGAAGGCAGAGCTTTCGCCATAGAACAAGACAGATGGACACTACAGCAAGACCTCAAGTTCCTGGCTGGCCACCAGAGGAACTGGAGTCAGATGTGCAGGATTCCAGGCCATGGTCCTGGCCATCTGTGCTGAAAGGCTGCCTACAGCTGGAAGGCCTGCCCAGCCTCTGCTCCTGGGGCCTCAGCTCCTGGCATACTTTATCAGTATTTCCCAAGAACATACTATCTAGGGCCAAGATCCTAGTGAGGTCTGTGCCCCTGCACCAAGACAGTCTGACCAATTAAAGTCAGTGATGGAAAAAACTCCTGAAGTTAGAATGTGTGATGGACCCATGTCCCTTTGCACCTGGGGACAGGAGATGCTAAGACTTCAAAGCTCAGGGGCAAGTTGGATCCTTGTGTCTCCCCCCTCCTCCACCTTCTTTGTGGTGGGTCAGGTGCTGCCCTAGCAGAACTGGATGTTCATCTGTAGCTCCAGAGTCAGGACTGGACATGGGCACCAGAACAGAGTGGTAGGTAGCACTACACACACAGGATGGATGTAATCAAGTACTTGAATGTGCATGCCACCTGTGTGTGTACAGTCACCTCTGTGCATGTAGTGTGATAAGCCCTTGGGGTCGTGGTAGTTGATAGAGCGTGTGGGCTGGCACTGCTGGTCAGGTCTAGGAGCCTAGGGCAGGGGAGGCTGCTGGTGATGCTTCTCCAACTTGACCACATGCTCTGTTCTCAGCACCTGGATACAAGCCAGCAATCCTGCTCCTCATTCTACATGGGGGCTCGAAAAATATCCTAGGGTCATCTACCCAGGAACATACAAGTCCCCTATTCCCATTCTATGGAGCCAACAGAGGTTGACCCCTTCTTGAACCAAACCTGGTCAGCACACTGTATTCATCTTTGTCTAAACATAGCCACACACTGTCCTTGGCCCCGGTCAACGATTGGACTAGTGCCTCACATAGGCTGATACCTCTCTACCCCCCTAGTCCCCAACACATACCCCTACCTCCAGAGTTTGGCGTGACACAATGTCAGTAGCCTGGGACTCCTCTGGACTCAAGCATGCAACAGAGTGGGGGGCTGCCCAACCAGAGCAGCTAGGCAGAGACCCTAACCTCCAGCCCAGGAAGAGTTGGCAAGCAAAGGGACCTCTTGAGAAGGCAAGGGACCTGGGTGGAGTATTCCCACCCTTGAGCCTACTTTTGGTTAAGACCCACACAGTTAGCCTGCTCTGTTATTAGCCTGGCCACAACAAGACCCTGGGGGCCTCACTGTGTGTGTGTGTGTGTGTGTGTGTGTGTGTGTGTGTGTGTGTGTGTGATATGTATATGCATGATTATGCTGAGTTTACTGTGGATGCTGGGAGACCTGGCGGGCCTCACTGTGTGTGTGTGTGTGTGTGTGTGTGTGTGTGTGTGTGTGTGTGTGTGTGTAGGTTTACTGTGGATGCTGGGAGACCCGGTGGGCCTCACTGTGTGTGTGTGTGTGTGTGTGTGTGTGTGTGTGTGATATGTATATGCATGATTATGCTTGGTTTTCTGTGGATGCTGGGGGCATGAGATGCATAAGGGAGAAGAAATAATGTGAGAACATGCATCTAGTCCACTGATGGTTCAGGAGTTACCACATCCGCCGTCTGTCTGTCTCTGAACAGATAGGTGTGTGAGAGAGGAAAGGAGGAGAGAAGGCTGTATGTCTCTCTGTATGTGGATGGTGTTGCTGCCCTGTGTATATGTGAGTTCAGTGTCCATCCCCACATAGAAAATGGCCCCCTGCCTGCCTTCCCTACAATCTTCACTGATCTAAGAGGGGAGAAGACCGCTGTGGCACATGGGGAGTCAGGATACGCCCTCACATGTTCTGGGACACAGGCCATCAACCCACAAGGCAATAGAGATCAAAGGCATGAATTCTAAAACTGCATCCTAAAATACTTAGGCTCCTCCACCCCAGAAGCCACAGACTGCCCTGTAGCTAAGCAAAGGGGACACTCAGAGACAGATAGGCAGACAGAACAGGGTGACTGGGGGTTGGCCAGAGGATTTGGTACATGGACTCCCTACCCCACTGCAACCAGGAAGAAGGCATCAAGGCATTTCTGGAACCTGTCACTTTTAATTATGAATGGAGGGTCTGCCTAGTAAGTGAGAAGAAAGGGACAGAGCCAGATACTGAGGACCCTCAATGTTAGGGGTGAGGTCCATGGGGTCGGAATGGGTCAGCATTGAGTGTCCATGGTAGACAAGGGAGTAGCCTTTGGTGTCATGGTAGGGCCTGGATCAAGGCCCTACATTAGGGTAGAACTCCCTAGAGCTGGTGTTGAGCCCGTGGGGTCAATGCCCTGGAGTTGTCCTGGGTTCAGGACAGGGTCAGAACTCAGTCTGTCAGTCATAGTCCCCGTCTTCAAACTTGGTGCTGAAGAAGGCTGCAGAATCTTTGGCCAGCCGGGACAGGTGCAAAGCACCAGTCACCACCAGCCCCAGGAGCAGCAGTGGAGGCACCAAGGTCCACATCGCAGCCAGGATGTTGTAGCACTTGGCTTTGGAGCCATACCGCCGTGCAGCCTCCAGGTCCCCAGCCACCTTCTGGTCTCGGGCCTGCAGAGCAGCACCAGAACCAGTCTGTTACATGTTCATGGTGTCTAGGGGACCAGAGCCCACCCAAAGCAACTGATGGGCACAGATTGACTCCCAAATCTTGATGGAGGGGTGTAGCCTGAGGAGACACTCCCCTGAGCTGGGCCCACATTCTCCATGATTTCCAACAGTTTGGCCCTTGACAGGCTCTTTGGTCATTGTGACCCTAGCCCAAATAAGGGCTGCAGCTATGGATCAGTGGCCATTCTGAGTCATCATCTGAGAGTCCCCTGTGCAAGAGGGGTCCTCTGGGGAACCAAGAACCCAGTCCCACTCAGGAGCAGCAGCCAAGGGCTCACTCAGCTCACAGAAGTCACAGTACATGGGAATCTCTCTATGGGAAATCTTTATAGACCTTGCCCTTTCGGAAGGACTATATAGCCAGGCCTCCCTTTTCCGTGAACAGTGTACCACCTCTTAATGAAGATGCCCTTGTGGTCCCCAGCTTAGTGAGGCACTCTTGCCATGCTAACAGTCCTCATGTATTTTTCCTTAGAACCCCTGGCCCCATCTACATCCCCTCACACCCTACACTCAGTCTTCCACAACCCTTCCCCCAAGCCTCAAAGCTAACCTTGACGGAGTGCACCAGCGCCAGGAAACCGAGACAGCACAGGTTCAGGTAGAGCGTGCTGAAGACTGACCAGAGCAGGTGGTCACGTGGTGTAGGGCCAGTAACCCCCATGGGGAGGGCTGTGTGGGCAGCATCATCAGCCTTGCGGGGTGATGGGGTCCGGGGGTCTTCACGGGGGTATGAAGTATCCATGGGTTCCAGCGCCGTGTCTTCCTGAGACTTGTGCTCTCTGAGCACCGGACCTGCTTATAGACCCACACCACCCTCCCTGACTGGCCAGCTCCACTCGCTATATATAACACAAATTACAGCCTCAGCCTGCCAAGTAGTGAGGCCCGCCCTTGCACCCTAGTGTCCCCCACCCCTCTCAGAAGACCCCATCAAAGACTGCAATGCCACATGGGCAGAGGCTTCAGACCACCCACCAGAGCCCCCTGCTGTCCTCACTATCCACGAAAGGCTGCTGAGGGTATTGGCTGCAGATCGTCCCTTGGTGGGCCCTGGGGCTGAGTGGATATGACACTGCTTCAGTTTCAGGGAAGGGCCAAAGCTCCCTCCTGAGAACCAGAGCTGCTGACACTACAGTCTTCCATCTCCAGAACTCAGAGATCAGAGTGGGGAGAGCAAAGATATATCTTGCTAGAGATGAATGCTAAGGAGAAAATGGGCTAAAAGGGACAGTGAGGGAGCCTGCCTCCCTCCCTTCCACCACAGACAGCAGGAAACCCTCCCCAGCCCCTGTGATGGACACTTCCTCTAGCTCTTTGGCAGACAGTCCCCTCAGTCTCTTTGGCCTGTTAGTCTTTCCTCTCAATCCTAAAATGTGAGTGGAATGACTTCCTCATGCCATCCTCCATCTCTGGTTGGCTCAGATGCTTGTATGTGCCAAGGACTCAATGTATATTCCAGCAAGAAGTCCATCTCCAACTCCAGGCTCATATGCCCAAGAACCTGCTTGATAAAGGGTATCTTACTGTATTCCCAGCTCAAATTCTCAGCAAGAGGTGAAATCCTTCATACCTCCTCTGCTCAACTTCTCTGAGCTGCTCAGGTCAAAAGCCTTGGTTACTTCTGCCCATAGGTCCCCCAGCAAACGCCTGTGATTTCCTGAACCTACCAGGGTTCAGGAAACCTTCCCATGCCCACTAAGATCACCTAGCATCAAGCAGACAGTGCTGAGGATTCCTGGACAGTCTGCATATGTGAAAGGGGAGGGAGGGTCCCTGACCTGAAGCAGGGAGGCTGCAGTGAGCAAGGGAGGATGACCCAGTCAGAGCACTTCACTCTTAGATGGCATTCTCCAGGGTCCTTTGCTAGCTGGTCTCCTCTAGTCTAGGAACAGAAAGACAGTAAATAGTGTGACTGGGGCCCAAGCCTGCACCTCTATCACCAAGTGCCTGAACATAAGCACCCTGGTCTTCAGCAACTTTGTGGCCATTGTCCTTATCAGTATTACTACCACCCTTGTTCTTGTCAGACCTGGTAGGCTCACAAACCTCAGATGATAGTGGATTCTGGCTTCTAGTCCTGCCATGTCCTTCCCCTGAAGTAGGCTAAAGAAAGCACAGGGAAACCAACAGGCAAACTGCATAGTGGCAGGGCTAACGCAACCTCGGCTGCATTACAACAGGACCATCCAAAACCGACCAGATGACCACTCCCTGCTTTGTTATAATAGCATCTCCATAGTATCAGAATTGCAAAATCTCCTGGTCCCATCACAGACCTGGACTAAAAAGAAGAGTAACTCCATTTTCCCCCATTGGGGAAACAACCTTGACACATTCCCAGAATTCCCTTCCTTTCACCCCACCTTGATTTGTAACTACTCTACCTAAAGTTTAATAATAAAATGAGCTATCCAAATTCCAGCAGACTTTTCAGAAGCCTACAACCAACCTTTGAGTGTGTGCCTTTACCCTGGTAAAACTTTATCCCAATGCCTTACTTTGTCTCCTCTCCAAGTCATGACAGTACTAAGAACCCAGAAACACCGAGGTCTCGGCTGGCTTTCTATATTTGAGACCTTCCCATTCTTCACCTACCAGCAACATGTGCTCCACAGCTGGCATGCACCCTGAGGCTGAAGGCCCTGACTTCACCACAGATGTTATACTCACACATCTGTCCAGTGGGACTAGATAAAATGCACCTGGTGGTGACTGCTATGATATCTCTGCTGCTGTTCCCATACTGGTCCTGTACAGAGCCCATCCTCACTCTCCCTGCCTGAGGGGAACAGGGCATGGATTCAGGTTTCTAGTCTCTTTCTCTGGGCAGATGGAAACAGAGTCGTAGTACCTCTGTCTTGGATCACTGATGTCTAATTCAAGAATGCACTGTGTCTAGAATCACAAGGTTCCAGGAGAATCCTCTGACTCTCAGGGATTGAGAACAGCCCTGACCCTGTGGGATAGATGGACTCTGTTACCTCTGGAGGCAGCTGATGGAGTCCTGGCCCTTGCATCCCTCCTGGACCATCCACTTCCAGCTCCATTCTCCATGCTGCTTTCTGTTCACTGGGCATTGTCTATTCTTTTCTGTCCACTCTTCTACGGGGTTGATTATAGGAACATCTAATAACATGTTGGCAATGCAGAACCCTCAACTCTAGGCCCACTGCAGAAGCCAAATGTCAAAATAGCAACCTCCTCATGGTGGGACAGATCTGAGATATCAGAATCAAATCTTTGAACTTTAAATGGTTACTCTTTTTCTCGGTAGAGAAGCTTCCTTTAGTCCAAAATTGTCCCTAGATCTTAGGCTCTGGGGTATTAAGTGTGAGCTGCTTTGTCTGACTGGCTTGCACCCTGGGCAGGTGAGTCCTCTTCCCAGGGCTCCAGGAGGGTCCTGAGGTCAGGTGCCATTTGATTCCCATATGAGGATAGTAACCTTCCAGCCTAGGCTCACAGGCAACATCCTGGACCATCCTGCTGAAGCACCAGCAAGTTCCCTGGCCCCTTTCTGTCATGTATCCATGGAGAAGAAAGGAATCTGTTACTTGGTTGAAGACTCTCACCAGCTTTGAGTTGAATTCCAGCACAATTAACATTTAGTGAAGACCTTACTCCTTTCCCAAGTGTAAGCCTGACATTTTCTTACAGAAAATGGCATTTTCTTACATTCCTCACCAGAAAATTCTTACACAACCCAAGTGGCACCTGATTTTCCCTTATCAGATTGTGGTCTCATCCAAGGCACCTCCAGAGCAACCTTATAACCTCAATTATTGAAATGAAGAATAGAGGAAGAGTCCCTTAGAAACTTGTTAATGAAATTCCAAAAGCTTCCACAATCCTATATACTGTCACCATTAAAATACTTAGGCAGGGCTGGAAAGATGGCTTAGCAGTTAGAAGCACTGGCTGCTCTTGCAGAGGATCTGGGTTCAGTTCTCAGCGCCCATATCGTGGCTAAAGACCATCTGTCATTCGAGGTCTAGGGGATCCGACAGTCTCTTCTGGCCTCCATGGGCATTGCAAGCACGGGTGCACTTACATGCATGTAGGCAAAACACGCATACACATAAAAATAAATAATACAATTTTTTAAAAAAAACAGGTAACTGTGACTCTTCAGAAGCTCACACCTAGACTCTTGGGTGTGCTTTGTTTTTTTTCCCTGAGCACCTTTCTATTTTTAATAAACCCCAACTGCTTCATAATAGATTGTCATGAAATTACTTTCTGTATCAAAGTCAAGTTGAGGTCCCTAAAAGATTAAGAGAACTCCTCAGGCTGCAGAGAGAGGCTCAGATGACAGTGAGCCCTGCTGGGGTCACAGTGCCTATGTTTCACTTCATCTGCCAGTGACCAACAGAGAGGTATTCTTGCACTCCACCCTCAAGCCACCCACTTCAGGTTCCTGGAATAAACCCAAAGGACTGCATAGGACCGGGCTGGACAAACTCCAGTACTCCATTGATTGTAAACAGGTTGGCTCGGGGAACTAGAAGCCATACCCAAGAGGCAATCATGGAACCCAGAACACAGCTGGGGGTTTCTTTTCCCTTAAGGGAAGGAACTCTGGGTTTGCCCTCCACCCCTGGACTGAGGCCTCCCTCCATTAAGGTTTTGGTACCCTTCCTGGGCCTGGGGACATTGTGCCAGGATCAGGGAGTGATGCTCAGGTCCCATTTGCCTAGAGTAGCCAAATACCCACACAGGATGCTAGTCAGCTACTGCCCACATCAGGAGGCTAAAATCCTGCCAACATAAGGACACTCTGCTCCTTATGACAGGGAGGATGCAGGATGAACTCAGTACAGGATCAGTCAGCAGACAGAGTCACAACACAGTTGCTACCATGTGCACTTTATTGAATCCACTGTGGACAGATGTGTAAGTGTAATATTTGCATATGCATGGGGTTAGAGGGAGGGGCAGCTGTGGACTGTGAAGTATGAGGCAGGACTAGAATCCGGAATGTGGTAACCTTTGAGAAATGGCTTCAATGAATGCCACAGAGGTGGTGGAGACAATAATGATGACGATAACAATCAAGAGGATGCTGAAGATGAGGGAGCTGATGTTCAGGCACTTGGCGGTGGAGGCGTAGGCCTGAGCCCCAATCACATCGCCCATCATCTTTCTGTCCCTAGACTGAAGAAAACCAGATGGTCAGGGGACCCTTGAGTCAGTCAGCTAAGAAGTAGGTGCTCTGAACCAGTTCCCCCATAGTCCTCCCTGCCCAGTACAGCCTCCCTCCCTCAAGCCAGGGACCCTCCTCCTCTTTCACACACTCAGACTATCCAAGAGGCCCCAGTGCTAGAAATTCACCCCACCACAGGGTATTGTTCCCTGCAAGTGCACTGGACACTTTGCACACAGCCTGGAGCCCCAGCCTGCAGGGTGAAGGGGGGTATTCCAACAACCGGACAGTAGGGAGAACTCCTCTAGGCTGGAGTGGGAAAGTCTGGCCCTGGGGTTCCCAGGCAGCCTCACCCTGTTCCTATTGGAGAGTCTCCAAGACAGAGGGATAGATAGACCA